TTTCACTTTGGGTGGGCGCTGGGCTTTGTTTCCAGAGCCCCATCCCCACAAGGCTGTAAACACCAAAGCTGGAGCTCATCTAGTTCAGCAGATGCTCTGAGATGGAAAACTAACACGGAGCTCCACCTGCGTGCCTACCTCCACTGAAAATTCCTGTGTCATCTTTAGATAGTTGTAAATGCTGTTTAAAAAATATCGTGGGCACCTTCCATTGTTTTCAATATGAGACTGATCTGGGTCCCTAGCTAACCATGTGGACAAAATGCTGCTTCGCCATTTTACAATGTCTTATTGTGCGGCACAGGTAAGGCCTGAAATTGCCTGAGTCTCTCAGCAGTAGGGTATGTCTGCAGCTAGCATATGTGCTAGCCAAAGCTGTTTTGGCTCTGCTAGTTTTTAACTTATAGCTTGTTATATTTTGTTTTTTAAATAACTTGACCTACAGCGCATTTGCTCATGGTGGAGCAAGTCAATCAAATAAAAAGGGGAAGGACAGCAAATGGTGCTCAGCCGAGAGAACAGAAGGTTCTGTCTAGACGGAGCCATGCTCACCAGGCAACATTATATTGCCAAAAACATCAAGCCATGAAGCTTCTGTGTGTCCTTCTACTTCCACGACTTATTGTTCAAAGTTATTAGAATTTTGTGTGATTCAACTTTCTCCATCCAAAATACAGTCATTCTAGTATTTTTCCATTTTGAATGTGTTTCAACTTATTTTTAGTGAGTATTGGCATGGTATCATGCCACAGAAATTTTGAAAATGAGAATAACCTAGTAAAATAAAGGTGTTTGAGTTAATCCCAGTGGGAAGGGAGCTATGAAGACTGGCATCCACAGAAACAGACTGTGAGGAGTGGGAACAGGACAGCCCGAAACACCAGAGCCCTCGTGTTTGCCTAAGGGCCGGTAGGTCTAGAGAGGGTGACATGTTTGTGAAGTTTTTTAACAAATGAACTTTTATGAAGAAGGATTGTATCTGTATTAGCCAGTATGGTTGTGAGCCTGGGGTCGGAGAACAGAAGAGGGTTTATTGCAGGCCCTTCATATAAGGCTGTGGGTTCAAGCTTTCTGCACATAAGTGTGTGATATCTGTAGAGCACCTGCTCTAGATGCCCGTGTGGTAGGCATGAGTGCCGTCTGCACACAACTCTGCTGTTTCCCGCCTACTTATACATCCTGTCCCATGTTGGCTATTTCTGGACATTTAATTGTCAAACTCTCTCCCCCTTTCTTGGCAGGATGACTGTCGACACCCACTCCAGCCATATGGTTCCCTGAGTGGCCATCCTGGACAGAACCCTCTGCTGACTTGTGGTGGGTGTCTTAGTTTGGGCTGCCACAACAAAATACCGTAGGTTGGTGGCTTAAACAACAGAAACTTCTTTCAGTTTTGGTGACTAGAAGCTTGAGATCGGCGTGCCAGCATGGTTGGTCCTTATGAGGGCCCTGTCCCTGGTCTGACCTTGGTGCATGAGGGAGAGGGGACAGGGAGGGCAGGCTCTGTTGTCTCTTCTCCTGAGGGAGCTAATCCCATCACGTGGGCCCACCCTAATGGCTTCTTCTAAACCTAGTTACCTCCCAAAGGCCCCCTTTCCAAATGCCATCCAATGAGTCAGAGCTTCAGCATAGGAATTTGGGGGGCACTCAACTCAGTTCATACCAGCGGCATGAAGCATAAGAGAGAGGTACTGTGATGCTGAGGTTCCAGGATGTTTGTCATCACAGTATAACTTGGCTTCTTTGTAGCATTCATGCCGCCATGAAGTGAAGATAATGTCTGTCCTGTAGCTCCATTTAAGACTCAACACAACTCACAGAAATGCGCTGACAGACACCATATAAATCTGGTGGTTACACAAACTACATCTACTCACTTCAACACAACTCACAGAAATGCGCTGACAGACACCATATAAATCTGGTGGTTACACAAACTATATCTAAAGTAATGCCATCCCCCTTCTCTTGAGTTTCCGGTGTTTCATTGAAGGAAAGCTACCATGAGTAACCCTCTGTCTATGCTGCAGTGAGTTTTATTCACAACCTATCACTTCAACACTGACAGACACACACACACGTAGACCTGCACAGTGTGGACTCCGTGTGGGTCGCCTGTCCAGTACCATCGATTTACACCAGGAGGCTTGGGTCATACAGAGCAGCATTCTCCCCATGGTAGTGTGTAGTTCAGTAGTATCATGAATTCAGAAGGACTCCCTGAGCAATACAGGAGCCACAGATTCCAAATGTCACAGACCCACCGCACCAAGAATGTACTCCAGCTGTGTGAATGCTCAGGGCAAGCCCACCTGCCGTGAGCAATGGCAAAGGAATGAGGCATGGCCAGAGCTCGTCTCTCTTTTGAAAAAGAGATGCACACAGGGGATATCTAGGTGTTACAAAGCAGCACGTGATTCACACCAAATGAGCCTTGCTTAGCTGACACTGACGATCTCTGGGGTGGGCACTATTTGTCCATATGGTGAAGTGGAAACGGGGCTCACAGGAGTGAAGTGGCGGGCCCCAGCTCAGGCAGTGTGAGAGCTGCAGCTGGGGTGGGAACTTGGGGCCTCTGTCGCCACCGCGGCTCAGGCTATCTGAAAAGAGCACAGAGTGGTCCAGGCGGGAAGGACTCCAGGTTCTCGGGAGAACAGTGACAATGTCAAGACGAGCCAGCGTTCCACGGATGGGTGTATAAAATCCTCACAGCTGTATTCTCTGACACGAATGTTAACATGCTTTCTCTTTGCCAAGGGTATGCTTTCTGTTTCTTTTAGTGAGTGGTTCCTCTTCTATGTGAACGAGTGATTTCAAGTGCACACCATAAAACCAAGAAAATCGCATATGTCGACGTTTCATGTTACTATTACGTTACAGAAACTGTCCCCTCCACATACTGTTTATACAGATGTTTATGGGGTAACTGAACAAGCGCTGGGCTCCGCTGGGTCGCGTCCTGATGGCCACTGACAGCAGTGTGGCCCTGGGGAGAAGCGAGCCTCTCGTCTGAGTTCAGCCCATCACAGAACCGTGGGGAGAAGGTCTGAGATACCAAAACGTCCAGTGCTCTGTGGAGGTGACGGCGCTGTACAAATGCAGGACATCTTCCAACCACTGCCCAGGGTTGACAGCTGAAGAAAGAAGGCTGCGCGCGAGAAGCAAAGGACTGACTGGACGCATCTACACCGAATTAAATAAAAAAGAAGCAGGAGTTGGCACCGAGAGGGAGGGCACGGAGGACAGCCCTGCTGGTGCAGCAGCGGCGCACCCCGGGGGACTCGGCACCCGCCCGCCTCGCCAGGCCGCGGTGGCAAGAAACGCGCTCAGTGTCCCCGTCCCGCCCGCCCTCTCCTCGCTGGACTCTGCGGGACCGTCCGGCCCAGCCCCCGGGCTGTCCCCTGCGCGTCCAGGACACCCCCGCCTCGGCTCGGGCTGACCTGCCTGACGTGCCCGGGATCTGGCCCGTCCTCGGGGTCGCCTCCTCCAGGCGCCCGACCGCCCTCTGCCCCCGGAGCCGGGCGGCGGTCCGGCGGG